GCAGAGTGGCCATCAGAAAGAGAGGCATAGTTACAGGGATATTTTCTTTCTCTCTCCTTTTAGCACATTTCCTCTCCTTAGGCTCTGCTAGGAATTCAGTATAAGGCTTTAAATTAAAATAATTTGAAGGACTCAGTAGGGTTGCATGCCCAGAAGCCGTAACCCCCTACACCAGACCTGCTGTCCAGATTGGGGGAACGCTCTCAGTGCTGGTGGTCGTTGCGTCCTTGGAGGACATTGCTGTTGGGTGTTTGGCACCACCTTCCGATGAGTTTACCCCTATATGCGATGGGTTTGCCTCTATATGAATAGTGCCACAGTATCATGTTTTGGCAGAATCTCTCTCATGTATACTTCCCAGAAATGCTCTGATAGATTTTGTATGGGGAGCTCTTTGGCCCCAGCACATTGTTAATTACATCCTGGAAAATTTTCTGGGACAGATAAAAGAGCATTCATTCCCTGCCCATAAATGTGTGTGTTATCTGAAGTATGCTGACTATTCTGTTCGTTTATGGTTCTGATTATATACAAAGTGTCAACCCACGAGTAGTGAGAACAGGTTTATTTTCATGCAGCTGATTACACAACACTGAAAGAAAAAGGATAGGCTGATGTAGCCCTTGCATAAATTCTTTATTTTTTAAAAGAAATTCTTCCTTAGGACTAGTTTTCAAACTCTGAATGGCTTTAACAGACTCATATTTGAAAGAAGATAGCAATGCGTTTATAAACAAACTTATTTTTAAGAATTATACAATTACTGGCAATGTAGGGTATTTTCTCCCATAGCACAAGTACAGATCCACACATTGTCTCACTTAGGTTAACATAAGGCTGTCAGATGTAAATGTTGCAGAGGAATTCTTAATCCTCTGCTGGACTATAAAGTGATTTTTTTTCACAAATAGTTTCCTGCTATCCAGACCCAGAGCATGTCACTGAACTGTGTGCTAATAAACACGAGGCAGAGGTACTTTTATTGTCGAGTTCTTTTGCAGGCAAACACTTTAAAAACCCCAATGGGTCATGACTTGACCAGTCATGTGAAAAAACAATAATCAAACAAAAAAAATTTCTGGAGGTATAATGAAGGGAGGCATGCCAGGGAATCCTGTGTGGGTGATTTATCTGATTCTGACTTGTCGAATGAGTGTAATCATTCAGTTTTTTCACATTGATCAGGCATGCTCTGCAAAATGTAATGCTGGCTAAATGACAGTTTGTCAAAATCCATGGGAAGGTAAAAAAAATACATACTGGTTTGTACACTAGAATTCTCCCAGCTCCCATGAATGTCATTAAGAAGCTCAAGAATGTCTTCAAATACCATCTGTGGGAAATTTTATCTTCCACCTGTGACTTAAAAGGCAGACATCATCAAAATTCTTTATCACTAAAAGAAAACCAGCCATAATTTTAAAGGTGAAGCAGGCAAATAGGGTGAACAATGTATATCTTTACGTTGTCCTCTGCATTGTGAAGCATTTATAGACAGATAAAAATGGTACACGGAATGGTATCGATTTGATTTGGCAGAACTTTAAATTTACTTTATTCAGAGGAAATTTACCCTATTACGTAGCAAGGTGATGGGGAATCACCTGCAGAAACTTACATTTCCTTTCATGTAAAATCACAGCCAGCTATAGGTTACCCAGGCTGTCCCTGGATAAGATGGAGTTACGATGTCTGTGCCTACAACTGGAGAAATCTCTTGGGATAATTCCTGACCCAACTAGAATTTTCTTGTTGCTTAATTCTGTGATTCAAACCCGACTCAGATGAAATAGCAGAGAGCACCCAACATGCGCAGAGCGAGGTGGGAAGAAAAGCTGCTCCATGCCAGGAAGGTTGGTCGCTTGTTTCCACACTGGACCCAGGAAGAGCCAGTTCTGATGTTTGTGGTAGTGTTTAGTGGATCTTGATTGCAGACAACAAAGTCTGTTGGCTAAATGCCCCGATTTTCCAAAGTTCTCACCATTTGTACTCAGTTATTCTGCAGTCTTTTCCTCTTTAACTACTTTCAAGCAAGTGTGCAAGAACTGAAGAGTGCATGGGGAGTGGGACCAAAAAGATTTTGTATCCCAACACTGTATCTTATTTATTAGGAGAAACTCCACAAGAATGTTTATATTGAATATTCATTTATGTACCTCCACAGTATTAAAGAGACCCGTGACTGCTGATGAGCTCTTGATGCCTGGAGCCCCATACGTAAGAAAAACTTTTACGGTATGTCTCCAGCATTTTTCTTTGTTTTCTGTATGTTATATGTATAAGGTAATCCAAACAGATATTTTCTGATGGGATAATCAGAGCTTATTTACATTTGCTAAGGTTTGTACTTTAAAATCCCAAACTCCGTTATCAGTACTTCCACACATTTCAGGTCTGATTCTGCACTTGTTTATCCTGTCTTTATGCCAAAGTAGTACTGCTGACTTAAATGGAGTGTAAAATTACATAAAGCCAATAACATTTGAATTATACAAACTCATCTAGACTTTGTGCTCCTGGTAATACTTGCTCTGTAGGAGTGGCTTACCTACCCAAATTGAAGTTTTCTAGTTAGGTCTTTCTAGACTATGGTGGGACAGAAATTTTGATTCATATTCACCATTAGAGAAAGCCTTTCTGTAAAGACATTTTTGAAGCCAGTCATTGGAAGCATTGCTTTTTACAGCCTCCTAGTTCAACAAAAAAAGTTCATTTAAAGCAAGAGGAATCATTTGGATAGAGCCTTTCCCATGAGTGATATAGCAGCCTGTACACAATGTCCTTTACTATGTGTTGGAAGTACAGAGATATTGAAGTTATGTCTTGAACCATTTAGATGTTATCCCCTTGAATTTCATGGAGCTACTTGAAGGTGATCATGTCCCTCTTTTCTCTTGCCAGATCGTTGGCGATGCGGTGGGCTGGGGCTTTGTGGTGCGGGGGAGCAAGCCCTGCCATATCCAGGCTGTGGACCCCAGCGGGCCAGCAGCCGCGGCAGGGATGAAGGTGGGTTTTCAAAATGAGATCATTTACCAGGAGTATTTGGGCTGCTCGGTGAAGGTCTTGGGCTCCCGGTACTTGGGGAGGGAGAGGTGCTTTTGTTTCCAGGGCTGAGTACCTTTGTCTCAGTTTCAGGCATTTGTGCACAGTGAGTTCTGCTGCCTTTCAGCTGCCTCCTGTTTCTTTTCTTCTGTCCTTGAGATTCTAGTCCCTTTTCCACATGAAACTTTTTTGTCCTTTCCAAGTTGTTTTCTTGATCTTTTCCCTTTTGGTTGTTGTTTGTTTGTTTGTTTTTGTTGTTGTTTGTTTTGGTTGGTTGGCTGGTTTTGGTGGTAGTGATGTTTTGGGTTTTTTGGGTTTTGTTATTTTCACCTTTTTCCAACTCTGAACAATTTTAGCTTCCCTCTTTACTTTGCAATTTATGTGGTTGCTGGTGTGCAGCTTCTGGACTTTACCTATATAGGAAGAGGCAAAGTCAGACATACCTATTGAAATTGAAGCTAGCATAACCCATTGTTCACTGTAAAGCAGTTAGGATTCAAGACATTTTGGGAAGAAGAACGTATGATAGTTCCATATTTCATAAAGAGTTGAAATAGTTTCATACATGATTTAAGAATAAATAAATACAAATTCCTTGTGAAGGCTTTTGTACTGCTAATGCAGACCCCATTGACTTACCTGTGGATTTGGATCAAATGCTGCGTAAATCTGTGAATTAATCACTGTCTTGTACAATGGGAAAAAAAAAAGTAAAGCGTTATGCCAAATGAAGATGATAAAAGCAAGAAAGGGAAACTAGCTGCTACACCTACTCCAATGTCCTGGCTGAGTCAGACACAAAAATTAAATTATCAGTTTATGTCATGTTTTATTGTGTGGTCACAACACAGATGAAGGTTTCACATGTACTCCACATGCAGCCTGGTTTGCCATGAATTTTGTCCTGCCTTCTAATTCATCTGCCTTTCCCATCACACTCACCCCAGCTGCCTCTCGCCCGTATGTTGACACCCACCAAGCTAGAGGCAGTGTGTGCTGCCAAGACTCCAGGGATGCGCATCCTGCCCATCGCACGATGCCAGACCTGCCATGGCACCCTCCCTAGCAAATGCACTACAGGGGTTTCTCCTCTCCAGCTGCTGGTTTTTTGGGTTTTGGGTGTTTGGTTTTTTCTTTTTTTTTTTTTTTAATGAAACTTGCAAGAACGTTCTGTCTTTGAAACATTTGCTTTTTTTGAGTATGGGCAGGCAAAACCCCTGGAAGGCGGAATGGCAGCTGCAGAGCCTGTTGGTGCATGCAGCACCCTGACACATCCTGCTGGCAAACAGCTTGATTCCCAAGGGAGCTGGATTTTTATATGTTTTATACAACACCTAAATATAATACCCAGTTACAATTTTTATATTGAGTGTCATTTTCAAATAGTAATCCTACCTAAAATTTAAAGGACTTAAATTTTAAAATAATGAATTTATTCATGTGTATGTTCTAGATCCTGAACTTGGGAGTTTAGTACTTTACAGCATCTTTTACTCTCTGAATATAGCATCTAGCAATAAAGTAGATCTATTCTGGAAGTTGACTTGTAAAAATAACACTGTGGTGTCATATGTATAATCTTAGAGATTTCCCTTCTGCACTCAGCAGCTTAGAGCTGAATATATTGGGGTTTTGGTTTGTTTTTACTTTTGGTTTCATGCTGGCAACCCTGTGACTACGCACTAGGATGTTTCAGTTAAGCTGGGTTCTTTCATATTTCACCTCTGAAACTGGCTTAATGTACAAAATTATGTCCTTGTTATCTTCCATTTGTGCTCTCCATGCACTCACGTACTCTGATGGGGTTACAGAGGCTTACCAGAACCATTTAAGACATAAGAATGTAAAATAGTCTGATGTTCTGGGAGGAGCAAACAGTATTTTAGACTTTCCAAGTGGGATATATTGCCTTGAATTTCCACAAAGGACAGATCTGATTATTTGCAAAGATGCTGTCTTTATATAAAATCACTTTTCAGAGCAGAATTGCACATAAAACTTCATGGCCGTATATTAGATGAGTCCCTGTTTGGACACCAAAATGGGCACCCCATTTTCAGAAATGCTGAATACCTTTAGACTCTGGTGAAGAAATGCCAGTTTTCTGAGAAAATAAGGGTTTTTGTTGAGGTGTTCCCATGGCAATAGGTATGTAAATTATAGTGCAGTATTTGAAATTTTTAAAAATCTATGTCACTTAATCCATCTGTTTACAGAACTGTTCAATCTGGCAAATTTAAAGGAATCATATGACAGGCTTTAGATGACAGCTCCTTGAAAATAAACCTTCCCCTGTGTGGAAGCTGGAGGAGAAGCACTTTGAAAATAGACTATTGAACACGGTAACTTCTGGTGGGCTGGTGCAAGAGGCTTTTGTCTGCCAGTGTTGCTCTGAGCGCTACACCAAAGAAGCGCTAACAAGGAAAGTTGGCTATGATGAAAAGGGCAAGAATTTGAAGAAGAGCCAAGACTTGGCGTTGCAGTTTGTAGCAAAGTTCTTGGCAGTAGCAGCAGGGTTTTTCCTCCTAAGGAGATGCATCCAGTGTAATCGTTTTTGGAAGTGTCTTTATTTGTAAGACTTGTGATTTTGCACTTATCTCTCTTGGAGAGCGCTATATTCCTGTCTTTGCACTAGGCTGGACAAACTGTTGAGAGGACTGCTGCCTACAGTCTCATTGTAGGACCTCAGTTTGTGCACTTTAAACTCTACCATCCATTATATAAAGCAGTAAACACCACAGGCTCAACCTACCTGAAGGACTTTGTGGTGGCTTGCTTTCAGTTTGACCTTGGCTGGGCTCCTGACTTGATCCAAAGAGCTGTGAATTGGGAGTCTGAGTAGAAATCTCAATGAGCTTGGGATGGAGCTCTGACCACCCACAGCAGCTGTGTGGTGGGCACGGTGCTGGGAGGCTGGGATGCACGAGTCTTCGTCACACACGTGCACCTCTGCGTGGCAGCACTTGCCATCTCCATACATGACATCCTCTTGTGGGGGAATTTTCAGACAAGACAATTCTGAGAAAATCCCTACCAGCATGGTCTGCTGAAGAGGTGAGAGAGGGCGTTGTGTTTTTTGGCTTTAAGTCTTGATACCTCTTCTGGGGCTGGTAAATAGGATTACTGTTTACAGACTGAGGTTTCAAGTATGATGCTGAGCAAATAATTTAATAAATATCTTGTCAATTAGCTTTATTAAAGTATTTTTAGACCTGGTTTGTTGAAGTGCAGTTGCCTGTGACAGTGTTGTGAAGAGCGTGGTTGCTGTGAGCGCATTAACAAGTGGGAGCCGGAGGCGATGTGAGGCTATGAAAGGAGTCAGTGTTGCGATGCGTACTTCTGAGTTATTTGCAGCTCTGTTTTGTTGTCTGCTGTCGTCAGTAGTGGAAGACAGGAACTGCAGGATCTTGAAGTTCCCAGGTTGCTTTAATATTCAGTATTGACTGGCTGCAAAATTCGGGTCTCTGCGGATGACATTGCTAAATATTGCCAGTTGTTGTCAGGAAAACTTTTTCCCTTTTTTCACTGTTTTATTCTGTAAATTAATTTCTGTTTTTAAGGTACAAGAATTCTTTGAAAAGTTACACAACTTGACTTCAAGCTAATGACTTCAATTATGCATCAGGCATTGTTATTTAGTGTGACATCACTGCAAGAGTGACAAAACAAGCAGAACTGACTTAGTGTGAGGCTTGTGAAAAAGACAAATTAATCACTCGTTTTGCTGATTATCGGTTCTTCCCTTTGGCTGGAGAAATCAGTGCCCAGCTCTGCCCTTTGAGGAATGCTAAAGAATATCTGATTCCTTAATCTGATTTTGAGCAAATTAGTATTTATAGTGGTTACACTTAAGGTCCTTGTATCATACAAATTGCCAACGGCCACTCAAGGTTTTCTATCCTATTCTAGTTCTTCTTCATTTCAGTTAGTAGCAGGGAGTTTGGGGAACCACGTATGGTCACTGGTACCAACCCCTTCTGTTCTGAGCTCTGCTTGGGGATTGCGGTATACAGCCAGGACCATTTCAGTGTGGTTCTGCTCTCCTTCTGATCTTTAAAAGCTAGCACAGGGAGGAGGTCAGCCTGATAAATTTGCTGCCTATGCCATCGTCTTCTGCATTCACAAATGATTGTTTCAGGTCCAGGTTCTCAAATTATTTCACTAGCAGAATAAGAGCCAAATCTCAAGTGTAATTGAATAGCCATTGTCTCATGGAGCAGATTGCTGTCAGGTTCATCGAGGTCATCAAGCCCAGTTTCTCTGCAATCAGAGGAACACAGGTACTATCTGATTAGTCCAAAGAGTCCAAATACTGCCACAATCACAAAATATTACAGGCTTGTAACATAAAGGACTAAAAGCTACACATTATAAGGTGCCAAGTGGGGGGAAAACCAACCCAAAAATACGTGATGTCAGAGGAACTGCCAATGCAGGAATTCCTGCAATAGGAAGAAACTTGAACTGTGAGGTTCTCGGGAGGTTGAATGTACCCCATGCTGCAGAGAAACGCAAAACCCATTCCATGGTCCTTGCCGATCTGACCTCAAACCTGGTGGTTTGACAAGCAAGATAAACCAATCTAAAAATATTAAAAAAAAATATTATTCCCCCAGGACAAAATATCCCATTTATGGCTGTGGCCAGTTTCCAATGTTTTACAGTACAGTGGGGAAAGTAGAGAAGCACTGTTCATGGCTTGGACAGGCATACTCTTAGCTGGGGAAAAAACTGGCTGTATGGCCGGGCCCAAAGAGTGGTGGTGAATGGAGTTAAATCCAGCTGGCGGCCGGTCGCAAGTGGTGTTCCCCAGGGCTCTGTATTGGGGCCAGTTCTGTTACATGTCTTTGTCAATGATCTCGATGAGTGGATCGAGTGCACCCTCAGTAAGTTTGCAGATGACACTAAGCTGGGTGGCAGTGTTGATCTGCTTGAGGGTAGGAAGGCTCTACAGAGGGATCTGGACAGGTTGGATCGATGGGCT